GGCTTACTCCAGCTCTACTCATGAAACACTCCTGGCCAGGCTCAGTGCTGGGGATTGGGACGGTGCCTTAAACCCTATAGTAGCTCTCCCGCTCCAAAAGGATTTTTGTTGTGTTTTCTTCAACACGTAAGGTCTGAGCATGACTGAAAAGCTCTACAAAGACAAATACCTGGTTTCTCTCATTTGTTGTTTTTACCCCAAAGGGGGCCTGACACATACAATGCAGTTACTGAAATCTGCTTATTTAGAAAATGGCTGCATAATGGAAGAACCCAGTACAGAAGAAACGTATACAGATGCGGGAGAAAGTAGTGTGAGGACTGTGAATGTCCTGAGGAAGAAGGGGCAGAGATAGAAGGAAGAAATGGAAGGGCAGCAATTAGCCAAGAGGAAGAACACATTTTTCATTCATATGAGGAGGGAAAAGGAAAAGAGAGCTACCATGTTCAGCAGGAGATTAAAGAGAAATGGAAGGGCTGGAGCAATAGCACAGCGGGTAGGGCATTTGCCTTGCACGCGGCCAACCCGGGTTTGATTCCCAGCATCCCATATGGTCCCCGGAGCACTGCCAGGAGTGATTCCTGAGTGCAAAGCCAGGAGTAACCCCTGAGCATTGCCAGGTGTGACCCAAAAAGAAAGAAAAGAGAAATGGAGATATTCCTTTGTCCCGACCCACACTGGGAAGCAGTGTTAGGCTGCAAATTAAAGAGGAAGTGGGAAATTGCAGGTTTGGGAATTAACTGAAGGCGAGGATGGCTTGGGCGCGCCTGGACCACAAGTTTAACCTGATTATGGCAAGTGTGCCTGGGGGAGGGAGAGTTCTCTTGAGGCCCAGGAGAACATGGCCACCCTAGAGGATTATGAAGAGGTCGGAGCAGATAGTGCTGATGGAGAGGATGAAGGTGAACAGTATTAATCCGTTCATTGCAACTTTACACTCCCATTGTCTTGAAATTGTCTTGTCTTTTTTTGTTTTCCACCGATTCCAAGCAGTTAGTGTGGTTTTAAATATTTTTAAAAGCCTGCAAACATGTAACAAGTAAACATGCCTAAAGCACAAAAATGTGAGATCTGTATCTGAGAAATACACTTGATATGTGAAATAGCTATCTTGTATCATTATTAAATGTCCTGATTTCAACCACTGAACTGAGATTTTGAAAGTCAATAACCTTGTTCTTGAGAAACACAAAAATGGCTTAGGGATAAAGGCACACCACGTGCTCCTTTACTTACATTCAAATTGTGTGTGCAGAAAATTATACAGCTAATACAGTATAAGGTTAACAACTGCTGAACTTGGGTTTCCATTGTTTATTCTTACAGTTCCTCTTTAAACCTTAATTGCTTTTAAAAATCAAATTTAAGAGTTTTACTGGATGCACTTGACCTCCACTGCCATTGCTCAGCTCACACATTTATCTTTCTCTACCCCATTGCTGCGAAATACTAATATCTTGCATTAACACGAGTATCTGACCGTAGTCAAAACACTACCACGACACTCTTGAATGAGTAACTTTCTGAAAATGGGTGTCAACCTCTTCTACTTCAACTAGTTTCCATTCTATTCTTAACATGTAAAATTGTGCCCTCTGAACATTTCACTGCTGATTCAGAACATAACTTGCCATCATTAGTGTTTCACTATTTTTATTTCTTATTTTGGTTTGTGGGCCACTTCCCGTTTTGCTCAGAGATTGGTCCTGCCTCTTTGTCTAGGAATCACCCTTGTGAGGCTCGGAGCGCTTTATGTGGTGCTGGGATCAAACCTGGGTCGATTAATCTGGAGGCTTTTACTTTCATAGGTATTTGCTGGTATAGTCATTCCTTATGGTACTTACTCTCTTTGTTTTCCTTTTAATCTTTTTTTTCTCTTGTGTGTGTGGGGGGCTCCCAAACTATGCTCATCAGGGGGTCAGGGGCCTTTCCGAGTAACTGAAGCCACAGTTCAATATGAGGGCCTGAGGCTGTTCCTCCAGGGACACACCCAGCAATACTTTATGGTGTCAGTGATGAAATCTAGGTCACACTCATGCTAGGAATGGACCCTAACTATGTATTATCTTTTGGGTTTTAACTTTATTTTGTGTGTGTTGGGGCTAGGGGTATTAGGTCATACATAGCCAACAGTGCTCAGAGCTTACTCCTAGCCCTGCTCAGAGATCACTTCTGAGTAAGTTCAGGGGACCCCATGGGGTGCCAGGGATCGAACCTAGGTTGGCCGCCTGCAAGGCACACATCCTACCCGTTGTACTATCTTTCTAGTCCTCATAACTGTCTTTCTCACAATAGAATAAAGTCCAAGAGAAACCATGACTTAAGTCATCAATAAGTCTGTTCAATAACTTATGTAATAATCCTTTAAAATGTTAAAGACAGGGGCTGGAAAAATAGTACAGTGGGCAAAGTGCTTGCCCTTCATGTGCCTGACCCAGGTTCGATCCCCGGCATTGCATATAGTCCAAGCACTGCCAGGAATAATTCCTGAGGGCTGAGTCAGGAGTAACCCCTGAGCACTGTCGGGTCTGATCTAAAAACTAAACAATAAATAAAAATGCTTAAAACATAGGAGTTGAGTGATAGCATAGTGGATAGGGCATTTGCTTTGCAAGTGACCTACCCAGGTTTGATCTCTGGCATCCCATATGGTCCCCTGAGCACCACAAGGAGTAATTCTTGAGTACAGAGCCAGACAGTATTTCCGAGTGCAGAGTGAGGAGTAACCCCTGAGCATCACCAGGCAGGACCCCGACCCCACCCCCAAATTGAAACAAGGGCTAGAGAGATAGTACAGGGGTTAAGACACTTGCCTTCCACATAGATAAATTGGGTTCAATCCCCAGCACTATGATATTCCCTCAAGCACCACGAGGAGTGACCCCTGAGCACAGCGTCCAAATTTCACCCCTCCAAAATCTTCATTTGGGCATTGTTAAGACAACAAAAGAATGTGCTAAGGGTTGTAATTAAAATAATAGTATATCAATACTCATTTCTAAATTTTGCTAAGTATACTGTGGTTATGTAGGAGAACATCTTTGTGCTTGGAGTATGTCTGCAACTTACTCTTGAATTCTTCTGGGTAAAATGTATACTCAGACACTTCTAAAGAAGTGTGTACAGATGTTGCAAAATGCAAACATCTGCCCATTTGCAGGGGAAGAGGAGTTTGGAATTCTTTGTAATATTTTATCAATTCTAATTGTTTTCATTTTGTTGAGGGTGGCAAGCAGCACTACTGGGGGCTTACTCCTGGTGGGTTGGAGGATGGGGAGGAAGATGATGGGGATCAAACTTCCCTGACTCCAGCCTGTCTCTATTGCAGCACGCTTTCTCTCTCTCCCACCCCCTCCCCCCAACACTCTCCTTTTGGGCATTATGGTTTACAATTCAGATACTGAAAGGTTATCATTTATATCCCTTTATCTACTTTCAACACTCAGCTCTTGTCCCGAGTGATCATCTCCAACTTATATTGTCCTAATGAACCCTTCCCACAAATGAATGCAGTCATTCTATATCTTCCCTCTCCTTTTTTTTCTTTCTTTTTGGGTCACACCCGGAAATGCACAGGGGTTACTCCTGGCTCTGCACTCAGGAGTTACTCCTGGCGGTGCTCAGGGGACCCTATATGGGATGCTGGGAATTGAACCCGGGTCGGCCGCGTGCAAGGCAAACGCCCTACCCACTGTGCTATCGCTCCAGCCCTGTCCCTCTCCTTCTGACTCATTTCACTCAGAAGGATATTCTACATGTCCATTGCCCAGGACTTTCTTACAGAGCATTTCCTAATGACGCCACCTTCCAGAAGTTGTTAACAGAATTGCAATAGCATATATTGCTATACATACACTATTGTAGTATATATACACAATATGTATTTGTATATGCATTTGGTAGGGTCAGAGCATTAATATAGCACATAGGGCACTTGCCTTGCATGCGGCCAACCTAGGTTCAATTCCTGGCATCCCATATGATCCCAGGAATCCCTCCAGGAGTGACCCCTGAGCTCAGAGCCAGGAGTAAGTCCTGAACACCACTAGGTATGATGCCCCCCCCCAAGAAAAACAAAACAAAACAGAGGCTGCTACAGTAGTTGTGGCTGAGAGAAATTAATGAATTTAGGGCAGGCACATGTTACAGAAGCTCTCCAGGTGATTCTGAGAAGCAGAAGATGCATGAGCCACTAGTCTAGAGATCATTCCAGTCTGTTGATCTGGGTGCATTCAGCTGAGTACAGATCTGTGTTCTGAACCTTCTTCCACCTATAGTCTGATACTGATCCGGGGACAAGCATTTGAAAACCACTTGATGAATATGGAATTTGCCATCAACTCAAGCCCCTGTGGCTAGATAAAGAACATCAAAATGGAATGAATACAGATGGGAGAGAGACCTGAGCTCAAACCTCAGCTCTGCCCTTTACCCCATGCAGGCCAGAACTAGGAGGGCAAGACTTCTATCTTAGAGGATGTCATGAGACTTAGAAGGGAAATGGTCACAAAACCATCAGCACCAAAATTAAACACGAGAGAATGTTGATTAACTTTCTCCAACTCAAGTCATTCTCTGGCTTTCCAGAGCCCAGTGTGAAGCAGGGATAATAAACATCATTTTTGTTAACTTCACTTCGCCCTGCTGAACGTTCTGAGCTGGAGTGTAGGAACAGCTGTAGTCAGCAATTAGCACAACCCAATCACAATTGGTTTCTTGTGTGTGGTTTGAGGTACACACCCCTCAGTGCTGGCTGTGGGGACTCCGTTGAATTGTTTTTGGATATAAAGTCTCATGCTTTAGATGGTCTGGGTTTCCTGAATACAAGCAAAATGAAGTGCTGTACCTATTATGTCATAAGTCATCACGCATGAAACAGTGAAATAAACAAAAATAGTTCCATCCATTCTGGCTTAAAATAACCATAGTTCACGTGATAAAGAAGTAAAACCCTTATTCAACACTACCAACAATAAACATTGCAAGAGTGTAATACTTACCAACATGTGAAGGCCAAACAGTTATATGAGGGTGGGAATGATACCAGCCCACAACTCTCATGGGACGACCTGTTAGTTCAGCCAATCTGTGTGACTGTAAAGGTCTTTTCAACTTCTCTTTCTGTTTTGTGTTGTGTTGTGTTGTTAGGGAGGGAGGCCACACTCAGCAGTGCTGAGGGCTTACTTCTGGCTCTGTGCTCAGGAATCACTCCTGGCAGGTTTGGGGGAGATCACGTGGGATGCTGGGAATCAAACCGGGATTGGCTGCGTGCAAGGCAAATGCCTTACCTGATGCACTATCGCTCCAGCCCCAAGTATTTTCAGTTTCTGGGAACAAAATTCCTGGTGCTTATAAGGGTTCAGAAGACACTCTGGGGTTTGTAACAGACCTATCTTTTATAACTTAAGGTCAACCCCAAAATGTGTTAAAGCCCGGAATTTCCTGGATTTTGCATTTACATGAATAGTGCATTCAGTTCTCAATATTACATTTTCGAGGTAGGCCTCGAAAGGGACTTCCCCGAAGGACAGAGACCAAGGTAGTGAAAGGCCTAGAAAGTATGCAGTAGTTGGGAAACTAGGCAGGAATGGAGACAGGCGGAGCGGGTGGCTGAACCGAAGGAAGAGAACGCTCCTCCCCAGAGTTGCTTCTCCCAGGATCTGGCCAGGGGATCTGTTTGGCATTTAGGAGCAGGAATGTCTGAACTAATTCCTCTCACTCAAAAAGAAAAAGGAATAAAATTGTGACCAACCAAGCAATTCCCAGGGGTGAATGTGATAATCGGGGGAAGAATTACTCAGAAGAACATCTAAGAACTTCTGAAAGTTGTAAAACCCCAGCACAAAAAAATCTTCTTGGCAACCAGCAAGGATATCTCTGCCTCTGTGGAGGCTGCAGACAACTGCTCAGGAGAAATTTCCACTCGGTCCTTCCTCTTGTCAGAACGGCGCAGGATGATGACAGAATGGATATGAACAATTCTGACGGTGTCACCCTGAAGAGAAACCCACCAAAACAGTCTGTTACTTTTACCCTCCAAGAACAGCTCCCTTCAATTCCAGAACTGCATTCTAGTACATTATCACGGTTAAGATTTCATTCGAGAAAACTGGGATTTTTTTTTCCACAAAAAATTTACCAAAAAAAACATACAACCTCCATATAAACATTTGAGACACAGAAATAGAAAAAGGCTAGTGTTTAGCTCAAGGAAGGACTTTCTGGGTCTGGGCAGTGAGCTCAAAGGCCTGGGTACCTGCTGTGCATGCAGGAAGTCCAGGTTTAGTCCCCTGAGCACCGGTGGTAGCAACCCGAGCGAGGCCTGATGTGGCCTCAAAAAAAGAGCTTTCTGAATAATGAACAAATACTCGTTTGGTTTAGAAAATACTGTCACTCCAAGGATTACCAGAGAGTGTTGAGCAATCAAGTGCTCAAAATGTTACTGTCTGCTTGACAAGCGAGTATCCCATATGAAACCACTAAAGTACTGCAACAGATCAATGCTATGTGATCCAAGATGGGTTCCACGATTAGAACAAATCATCTTCATGGGTAGGACAGATGAGTGCATCTAGCTCCTGGTTGTTGTGTGTGCATGCTTGGTAGCAAAGGCATGTGAGTGAGGTGCTTAGGAAACAAGCTAATTTACACAGAACTTATGGTGAAATGGCGGAGAATGAGAGAGAGAGAGAGAGAGAGAGAGAGAGAGAGAGAGAGAGAGAAATGTAAGCACCCATAATGCCCAGCCATAATGTATAGGGTGAATGATAAGGAAGGGAATAACTGAAGACCTCCGGTTCCAGCCACAGCCATGCTAAGACCACTCTCCACACATTTGGATGAGCCTAACGCATGAAGGAACCGGCAGAGGAACCCAGGAGTGCGGGACCTGGGGCGTGGATCTCCAAGCCTGCTCAGATTGGGACTGGGGCCTCCTCCACCCAGATCCCCCATCTTCCAGTATGTAGGAGTTACACCCACCAACTGCCCCCAGTGCTGTGTAATCCCATCAACGGCCAAGAGTCAGAGACTATAAAACCCTGCTCCCAGAAGCGCGCAAGGGCATTTGTGGCCACGCGACATCTTACTATCTAGTTCTTATTCTGGAGAACCTGGCAGGCTACCAAAAGTATCCTGTCCATACAGCAGAGTCTGGCAAACTCCCTGTGGCATATTCAGTATGCCAAAAACCAGTAACAATGATGGGTCTCATTCTCCTGACCCTGAAAAAGCCTCGAATGTGGCACTTCTTAAAATCTCAGGGCTAGGACGAAGGAGACATTACAGGGGCCTGCTTGAGGCAATTGATGAACAACAGGATGACAGTGTGATACAGTGTGAACTGCACATAACCCTGATGTGAAGAAATGAAAAAGTACTGGGCCGAGCAGGTGCCAGAGAGAGAAAACAGATTTGAGGTTCACAGAGAAGAAAGCATCAGATTCTGTAGCTTGTGGACCAAGTGATAGAGGAAAGGAAATGCCAGGATGGCTTTAAAGTTTTAAAAGTGAACGGCGGTGCCCTGACCCTGAGCCAGGCTATCTTCACCAGGGCAATTCGGAGGGGGGTGGGTTAAGTTTCCCTCTCCGCCCCAGCAGAACCCTGGCAGCTGAAAACCTCCAGAACCCAACCGCAGCCATGCTCAAGGCAACTGTCCACAGGCTCGGATGAGCCTCACCTATGAGGGAACCTGCAGAAAAACCAGATATATGGGACCTATGAGTGAGATCTCCAAGCTCACTTGGAACAGGACTGGGCCTCCTCCCCCTGGATCCCCAGTTTTCCAGTAGCTTGGAAGTCACACTCAAAAACTGCCTCTTGTGCCATATAATCTCATCAATGGCCAAGATCCAGAGACTATGAAATAAAGCTCCCAGTAGAGAGTGACACAGAACGTCCCGGGAGCACTCGACCTCTTATATTCTAGCCCACTGTTATCAAAAGGAGCACAGATTTGTTTAGGTTTAACATATATGTTTGTAATCTCTTATACAAGGGCTTAAAATGCTCCAGGATGAAATACAAAAATCTTCACACACTTTCCTCTTATGGTGGTAGGAAGGTGAAGGTTGGTGAGATTGGTGCTTGAATATTATATGTAATGAACTATTGTGAACAACTTTATAAAAATAAAATAAAATAAAAGTGAACGGCACACAGGAGGCAAGTGTAAGTGTGGAATGCAAGGAAGCTGATCTGGGATGGGAGGATACATAGTAAAGTAAAGTAAAGGCCCTCCCGTTGTTCGTCGATTTGCTCAAGCGGGCCCAGTAACGTCTCCATTGGAGACTTTGTTGTTACTGTGTTTGGCATATCGAATACGTCACGGGGGCATATCGAATACGTCACGGGGAGGATACGTATGTAAAGGAAAGTAGGGAGAGACAGCAGTGGTCTGAGAGGACTCAACCCTCTTTTAGGATGTACCATCACTATCACTGTCCTCCCGTTGTTCATAGATTTGCTTGAGCGGGCCCAGTAACATTGTGAGACTTGTTACTGTGTTTGGCACATCGAATATGTCACGGATAGCTTGCCAGGCTTTGCCATGTGGGCGAGAGACTCTCGGTAACTTGCCGGGCTCTCGAGAGGGGCAGAAGAATCGAACTCGGGTTGGCCGTGTCAGCCACGTGCAAGGCAAACACTCTATCTGCTGTGCTATCACTCCAGACCAGGATGTGCCATAGAAACTAAAAATAGAAAATAAGATACATGGGGCTTGAGAGTGTACAACGGATAGGGCGCTTGGCTTGTACTCATCTGATCCAGGTTTGATTCCCAGTATCCCATTATGGACCCCAAGCACTGCCAGGAGGGACTCCTTAGTGCAGAGCCAGAAGTGACTCCTGAGAAGTGCCAAGTGTGGCCAAAAAACCAAAAGAGGGGCTGGAGCGATAGAACAGCGGGTAGGGCATTTCCTTGCATGCGACCAACCCGGGTTTGATCCCTGGCATCCTATATGGTCCCCCAAGCACTGCCAACAGTAACTCCTGAGTGCAATGCCAGGAGTAACCCCTGAGCACAATGCCAGGAATAACCCCTGAGCATCGCTGGGTGTGACCCAAAAAGCAAAAACAACAACAACCCCCCCCCCAAAAAAAGAAAATAAGAGCAGTGAGGGACTGGAGACAAGTGTTCAACACTTAGCAGATGCTTTGCATGTGGCAGACCCAGGTTCAATCCCTGACACCACATGATCTATCCATCCCCCAAGCACAGCATGGGTATGAGTATGATGAGTACTGATCATACTGATGAGTGTGAGGGGGAGAGAAATAGGGAGATGGAGATGATGGTATGAGGAAGAGGAAGCTGAGGAGTAGGAGGGAGAGAGGGATATTGAGAGGGAGGGAGGGGGAGAGATGGGGAAGAGAGGGGGATGGAGGGGAGAAAAAGGGGCGTGGAAGAAGGGCAGAGAGAGGGTGGGAGAGGGGAGAGATTGAGAGGAGAGAGTGGGAGAGGGAGGGGAAAGAGGGAGGAAAAGCAAAAAGAGGGAGAGGGAGGAGAGAAGAAGAGGAAGGAAGGAGAGAGAGAGAGCGCAGAGCCAGGAGTAGCCCTGGAGCACTTCAATGTATAACCCAACACCCAAAACAGTTTTGTAAAGTGTGCAATTATCCCAGTAGGAGCTGAGGCCCAGGGCGACTTTTTCTCTCTCTAGCCAGAGAAGGTTTCTGTGCTAAGAGGTTGTATTAGTTCAGAAGTTGAAAGAGAAAGGGAAGGGCACCAGGTAATTTAGACTATGGGTCATTTAAAATCTCACCAAGGGTAGGGTAGACAGTCAGATAAATAATGGAAATGACTGGACGGGAGCATGAGAACACTTAAAAGAACCGAAAAAACCCCACTGTGCTTCCACAGGACAGAGCAATTTCACTTCTTAGTATCTACCCCGTGGGTTCAAAAACCCTATTCAGTAAAAACCTTTGCTCTATGTGCAATGCAGCACTATTCACAACAGTCCAAATCTGGAGACAACCCACCTGTCCAAGAATAGATGACTGGATAAAGAAACTATGGAACATTTACACAACAGAATGCTACCTGGGTGAAATCATGCAATTTGTTGCTGCGGGGATAGATCTGGATCTGGAGCATACCACGCTGAATGACATTGGTCAGAAGGAAAGGGACAGACACAGAGCCACCTCCCTCATAAGTGGGATATAAAGAAACACAGTGGGCCTGAGTCATAGTACAGTGGATAGGGTACTCACCTTGCACACAGCTGACCCTGGTTCATCCCTGCACCCCAAATGGTCTCCCACACCAAGCCCGCCAGGAATGATTCCTGAGTGTAGAGCCAGGAGTAACCCTTGAGCACTGTCAGTTGTGCCCCCACCAGAAAAAAGCACCTAGCACTGTAGCACTGTACTGTTGTTCATGGATTTGCTCCAGAGTGCACCAGTAAGGGCTCCATTGTGAGACTTGTTGTTACTGTTGTTACATTGTGAGATGTTGTTACTTGTTATGTTTTTGGAATATCAATGGCTTCATTGTGAGACTTGTAACATTGTAAGACTTTTGTTACTGTCTTTGGCATGTCAAGTCTCCATTGTGAGACTTGTTCTTACCGTGTTACATTGTGGGACTTGTTGTTACTTATTATTACTGTTTCCTAAGGAGCTTGCCAGGTTCTGCCATTTGGGCTGAATACTCTCCCTTGCGGGGCTCTCCACAGCGGCACAGGGGCGGAGGAATCCAACCCTACCCACTGTGCTATCGCTCTGGCCCAGAAAAAAGCACAGTAGGGAAATAACAAATGCCCAGAGGCAACAGAAGCCAAGAACCAGTCTTCAGAGCAGAGCTGACCTCCCAGGGGGATGGAAAGCTGTGTGCACAATACCCTGTAATCAACGGTTTTGTAAATCAAAAGGGTTTTGCAAGGAAAAGGAAAGTTAAGGAGGTCTGGCAGCTTGGGAGACAGCAGGAGAGCAGCAGTTCTCACTGGTTTGCAGGTGGCAAGGAGACAAACAAGGAGCAGAGATGGGGCCTTGGGCTGAGAGCAGCCTTTAAAGGTAAACCCCAGTGGCCCACCAGACACAGAAGCAGTGAGAGCAGCCAGTATACACAAGGCTGGCACACACAGGCACTAGTGTGAGGCCTGGGCATCCAAACTAGCTCCTTAAAGCTATTCAATACGGAACTCTCAACTTGAAAAGCAATCTGGAGCTTTGTTTTGTTTTTGTTCTTTTGGGGGGTGGGGGCAGCACCTGGCAGTGTTCAGGGCTTCCTCCTGGTCCTGAACTCAGGGATCACTCCTGGGGATCAGGGGACTATATGCGGTGCCAAGGAAGAAACCGGAGTGGCCCATGTGCAGGATAAGTGCTAGGTCTACCTGCTATGCTATCTACCACTCACCCCAACATCTGGAGCTTTGTATGGTAATTTTCCATACAGAATTCAAGGACCCACTCAGAAACTCAACCAGTTTCTCAGCAACAGAATGAGCAAACGCTGCTGAAGAGAGGACAGCCTGCCCAGCCCAGGGATCCTGAGAAACAAAAGGGGACAAAACCCTCCTGGGGTTGCCTTACACACAGGTCAGCACTGGTTTTCTCTTGAAGGGAAGCACTTAACTCAAACATACAAGTTCTTACTCCAAAAGAGGCACTACTGCAGACCTAAGCACAGAAAGATGGGCACCACAAAGCACTTCATTGAGGAACACAAACAACCCAGACAGTAACTAAGCCAGCAGACACCAAGAGGAAACAGCACAACCCTGAAACCAGCATGAATTACCCTGATTAGAACTCAGATCTGCATGGAAAAATGCAAAAGATCACACCCTAAGCAGTTAGAAAAAGTAGAGGCGGGAAAGAGAATGCAGGCAAAAAAGGACCTGAAAAAAGGCAGAAGTTGGGGTCCGAGAGATAGTACAGTGAGTAGGGTACTTGCCTTGCATGCTGCTGACTCAGATTCAATCTCTGGTACCCCTAGTCCAAGTCCACCAGGACTGATCCTGATCTGCAGAGCTGGGAGTAATCCTTGAGTGCCAAGGGGTGTGTTCCTTCTTCTCCCCCCCCCCCCCCCAAGAAAAGATAGGAGTTGCTGGGCTGCCAGTCCGTGGTTTCTTTTTTTTTGCTTTTTGGGTCACACCCAGTTGATGCTCAGGGGTTACTCCTGGCTCTACACTCAGGAATCACTCCTGGCGGTGCTTGGGGGACCATGTGGGATGCTAGGAATTGAACCCGGGTCAGCCGTGTTCAAGGCAAATGCCCTACCAGCTGCGTTATTGCTCCAGCCCCGGTAGTCCGTGGTTTCTAAGCGTGGCGGAGGGGCTTTCCAATTCCTCCTGCCCAGCTCTCTGCCAGGAGCAGCTGAGTCTTTGGGTGATTTGGGTGAAGAATGCGGGGATGCCAAGGTGCAAGAGAAATAGGTGGGTTGTGAACACGTTAGTTTTGGTTGCCTGTGTCTAGCTAACTGTGCATGTCAGGCAGGCAGTTGGAGATGAAGTTCCGAAGCTTGGGATGATCTGTACTATCTTGTACTGGGCAGTAACGACACTGAAAATAGACAATGGCTCACTTGCCACATGCCAAGCGAACAGAATTTGAAAACGTGCTTCACACGAATTACCTGAGTCTCCCCCAAACTCAATGAGGTTGCACCTATTGCTACACAGTTTTCCAGTTGGCTATTATACACACAGGACAGAAACCCAATTCTTCCAACATTGATGACTCTCCCTATCCCCATTTTAGACATCAGGCAGAGCAAGGCATTATGGACATGGTTCAGTGGTTAGTACACACACGCTTGAGGCTTTTGTTCACACCCTGGCCACCACCACCTCCAAGTTCAAAAGGAAAGGGAAGCTTAGAAATATCATATAAAATTCCCAAAGTCACACAGTAAGTATCAAAGACGGTACATGAAGACGGATCTTTTCTATCCTCAGCATGTGCTGAGCTAAAGCCATGGGGAAGGCAGTGTCCAGGAAGGCATACTGGGGAGAGAAAGGTGGCGAATTCCACTATATAATGCATCAGTGTTGGGGGAGCAGAAAGGATGGAAGGGACAGGAGAGGGAGTGAGACATGACAAATGGCAAAAGCCAAAGCCTAGCAAGAGTTGAAAGGAGAAACACTCCAGATGGTGTGCAACGAGGAAGCTGCTGCACCAAAGTTTTAGTTTGCCGTGAGTGGTGAGGAAGGAACAATTACAGCCTTTTCTTTGGACAGGCTTGACAAGGGTGACAGATGTAAGAGGGGTGAGTGAAAGGTTTTGCTTGCTTGCTCCCCCTCCCCTTTCTTTCTGAGATGACAGTACTTCCTAAAAGGAAAGAGCTAGAGGAATGGCGATAGCTGGACACCGAGGAAACAACGTGTTTGCCGAGCAAGGTCTGTGCACCCGCACCCGATGCAGGGAAAAGACGACAGCTCAGTTAACATGAAGTTAGCACTGAGCTGACCAACTTAGTGCCACAGAGCCTGGATCATCTCCCGCCACTGATGGTGGGAGGAGAGGACATGACTTGTTTTGACCGTGCTTCACGAAAGCAGAGGCCCAAAAATTAACTGGTCCTGTGCCGCTCTTAGGGTAAGCAGCAGTAGAGTAGACCAAAAAGCAGAGAGCAAGTGAAGATGTGGGAGCATGCGCAAGAGAAAAATCAAAGTAGACTGAGAATTCTTCTTTTGTTTTTCTGCTTTTGGGCCACAGCCAGTGATGCTCAGGGGTTATTCTGGCTCTGCATTCAGGAATCACGCCTGACAGCTCTGGGGACCATACAGGATGCTGGAGATCAAACGAGGTGGGGGGGGGGGGCATGTGTGCAGGGCACGGTGATGGGAGAATGCCCAGAAAAATGGGCCAAAATGAAAAATGAAGTATCCTAGTAGTTGCTTCTTCATCTGACTTTCCTAGTGTCAACACGTTTTTCAGCCACAAATGTGGATCTGCACAAACTGGACTATTCCCTGGCCACGCTCATCAGAGTAGAGGGATCCCCTCCCTGGCTGCAGAGTTTGCACCATGCAAAATTCCAGCACACGTACCTTTTCAGCAACTGTGTGAGAGTCAGATCCGCTGTACCCAAATTTTGAGTCACTCCTTTGGGGGCTAAATTAGAGGGGAAAACAGAACTGAGGTAACTAAAGCATAACAGTTGTAGTTTTTCAGCAAAAGCTTCGAGACAAGTAAACTGGAGGGGAAATAAACCGAGGCTGGAGCGGTGTCCATACACTTGTTAGGAACACATGGGATACTTCACTGGTAGAGTGCAGTTTTAGACAAGACAAAGTCAAGGATGGTCCCGGGTAACATAGAAGTGGGCTTGGAAAGCACACAGTCAGCTCTGCTGGCAAATGTATAGGACACAGAGCTTTGCCACCTGTATCAATCCAGGTACAGCAGATGTGAGATTGTTGCAGGGTCCACCAGGGGAGGCAGGACACTACTGACCATTTTGATGGGCTACTGACTCCTAAAATACACATGTTCTGCCAGCTAGAAAATGACTGCTATCCCATTTGTCATTTCAGGGGCGAGAGAACTGAAAATGCATCAAGCGATAAAACGGAAATTAAGGGCACCACGCCTAAAACCTGTGGATGGTGTTTAATTGGATCCATCGAGTTCTCTTTAGAAGAGGTTCCACAGCTCTTGTAACTTAAGGTCTTTGTGCCCGAATTCCGTTTTTCACATCAGGTCCTAAGTATCTCAACTGATTGGCATCCCACCTGGAAGCGTGGGGCAGATCGCCTTGCAGGGCGCGGGGTTGGGGGGTGGGGGTGGAATTCAAACCTTAATGTCCAGGGAGCTCTGGCTTCGTTCATAAAGGTAACTGAAAATAAAGGGCATACAGGCCCGATACTGTGAAAGCTGTCAAAACGGAGGGAACGGGTGCCTAAGAGATGCGCGAACAGTCTCACCTTGTGTCATCATTCAACTGGAGAGGGAGAAAGCAGAGAACAATTAGTGAGCACATTCGGAGCGTGACACGCACAGGCACGCGGATGACGCGAAACTTGGGGCCGGGGGCCCGGAGCAGTGCAGGAGGGGCCGGAGGGGGGGCGCTGGGGGCTGTACAGAACGAAGTTCTGTGCCATCAGGCGGGGGGGGGTGGGGGGCCGCAGGGCCGCGGGGGCTTCTGCATCCCCCGCCCGCGTCGTCGCGGGTCTGGGCTGCGCGCAGGGGGGAGGCGGGAGACGCGGCGCCGCGGTGGCGATCGGCGGCTTCTGCGGAGCGCGGCGCCCTGGCCACGGCGCAGGGGCGCCGGCGGGCCCGGGCCCGAGGGGGAGCGAAGCCACGAGAAGCCACGAGAAGCCCGGCCGGCCGCGCGGGCCTCGGCGGCCGCGCGCGGGCGGGCGGGCGGGCAGGGGGCGCCGCGGGCAGCGGCCGGGCGGGGCGGGCCGGGCCGGGCCGGGCGCGCTTACCTCCCCGATGCACAGCCCCATCACCTCCTCCTTCTCGGTGCTCAGCGCGTGGTTGAGGCACACGAGGAAGGCGTCCGACTCCAGATGCACCGCCTGCACGGCCTGAGCCACCTGCAGCGCCATCTTGGCCGGCCGGGGCGGGGCGGGGCGAGGGGCGGCGCGGCGGCCGGGGGCGGGCCGGGCGGCACCGGGGAGGCGGCGGGGAGGCGGCGCCGCGGGGCTCCGGGGCGCCCATCTTGCCCGCCCGCCCGCCCGCCCGCCGCGGCCTACGGCGCAGCCGGGCCCGCCGCGCCCCGAGTGGCCGCCGGGCGGCTCCGCCCCTGCCGCGCCGCTCGCGCGCGCCCAGCCCCCGAGCCCCGTAGCCCCGGCCCGGCCCGCTTCCGGCCCGGCCCGCGCCGCCTCCCTCCGGTTCGGTGACCTCGGCCGGCCGGACTGGGCGCCACTGGCCCCGAGGGGGAGCCCGCCAGGGTTAGCCTCGCTCTTCCCGGGGCGGATCAGTTAGGCCACGAAACGTTACATTCATGTGAGTAACCTCCTCGGAGGCACAGCCGTGTCGTATCCGCCAAGTGTCACCCGGTAGCCAGGTCGCCGCCGCTCTCTAAAGCCGTGAGGTGTCCGTGTCCCCGCCGCCGGGAGGGAAGGGGGGCGCGGGGGCGGCGCCGCGTCGTCTAGGTGGGGTGCGGCGCGGCGCGGCGCAGCAGGTACCCAGACGCCCCGCGAGGCTCCCGGGGGCCCTAGAGACTCGGTGAAACTCTCGGTCGGAGCGATGGCAGGAGCCGCGGTGAGAGCGCAGAGCTTCCGACTCCCAAGGTTACGAGTCACACGCCGATTTTAAGGACGGTTTCGGAGTCCAAGAACACCCCCGCCAGGCCGCCTCCGCAGCCCTGCGGTGTGGATGTGCGTTTGATCTGGGGTTCTGCTTCCTGCGCACTTTGGAAGCCAGGCAGATATGGCAGTACTGGAAAGGGAACTGTCCCGAGGTACTTCTTGAAGTTGATGCTTTGCTCTTTTCTCCCGAGTCAGTTGCAAGCCCGGTCTCTGCAAACAGGGGACCCGCATCCCCCGCACCGTATGCGATACTGGCAGCCTCCTTGTTTCCCTAGTGCTGAAGGGGCCCAGCTTGCCTTGAGTAATTTAGAGAATCGTGAAGCTGGGGCGACAGTTCAAGAACGCACTGACATCGGACTCGGCCAAATGTGCCCCGGAGCTTACGTATTACAGCATATATTGTTTCCAACAACTTTTGCCAGTTCCTGTGCCTGCTTGGCAGGGCCCAGGAGGGCTGTGTTTGCGGACGGGATGCTTTAAGTTGACAGGGTCCTTTAGGCACCTTCAAGATGAAGACCACCCTTTCTTTGTTCCTGTTACTGATGTCACAGTCCAGAGTGGCATTCTCTAACCTTTAGCATGCCCGTGGCAGCCTTTGACAGCACTAAGCCTTTGATTGCAGATGCAAAATAAAGCCATTGACCGACTCGACACACTTACATGCAAGCCGCTCTCCCAAGCATTTCTAGACCTCCTGTAACGTAAGCTGTCTCGCCTTGCAATCAGACTGCAACTTCCTAGCTATGCACTCCCCATGCAAATGACCTAACTTGTCTTCATTCCCTCACCTTTACCTGGGAGCCATCTAATTGGGTGGTTGTAAACACTGAGTATACACGAAGCTTTTAGAAAGACCTATTAGGATGAATGTTCTCTAATTCTCATTTTTTTCATGGTTTGGGGGCCACACCTAGTGATGCTCATGGCTTACTCCTGGATCTACACTCTGAAGTTACTCCTGGTGGTTCTGGGGGTGGGGAGACCATACAGGATGCCCAGGGTTGAACCCACGTTGGCTGGTCAGCTACATGCAAGGCAAGCGCGCCCAACTGGCTGTAATATGGCTCCAGCCCCTAATTCTCTCTCTATCTGAACCTGAGACAATGAGATTAGGCCAGCTCAGGACGCTGAGAATCAGAATCAGACTCCTCAGACCCCACTGCACTGGGGCTGGAGATAGGGGGCGGATTCCACTATTGTAACTGACTGCATTGTATTCTTTTAAACAAGTGTAGTCAACTGGTTACTGTTTCAAAAGTGTTCAGATACCTGAAAATGAAAACAGTTTATACTTTGTTACAAGAGGGATAGTAGTTCATTCTGTAAAGTAAAATTGCTACTTAAGGAAGTCTTGTGTTGGATGTCATCCATTGAAGACATCATTTTAAAACTGTGGTACTCAGAAATGATCAAGCCCACCGTGATCTCTAGCCATGACACCTGTGGGGACGGTCTGGTGTTTTGCCTTCCTTGATGGCAGAGCTATTTAAATCCTTTGATTCCAGTTGACTCTGCAGCTAGTTAGTTGTATTCTGTCAGAACAAATTTATGATCTGTTCTTGCACATTATACTAAGTTTGTCTTCAGATTGTTTGCTTTGGGCTTTGGGTTCTTTGGGGTGGGGGGATGGAGCCACACTCAGTGGTCTTTGGGGCTACTCCTGGTAGTGCTCAGGGAACCATACTCGGTGGCAGGGATCTAACTGGGACTGGCCACATGCCATACAAATGCCATCACCCTTGTGTTCTTCTCTCTGGGCCCTATCTTCAGGTTTTAAGATATTTTTTTCTTCAAAGTTGTTCAAAATAGAGTTGTTTCAGATTAAAGCATTCTTCATACTAGAAGGGGTTGTGAACTTTATGAACAAGTTTTGTGGAGAAAAAAGTCTCAGAGGGAACGTTAAAGTCTCCTTATAGGCGTAACTTGCCTGAGCTTGTCCTGTGCGAATATGCCCTAAGACTTTACCGGGGTCCCAGATTTCCTTGATCGGGGAGTTTAGGGAGAGTCTTCTAAGAATCGCCATCAAGAGCCAAGGTCCCTCTCCTACAACTGGGACTCTGTGCGCTTTGATTTTAATCCCTCTCAGCCTTTGCTTTTTCTGCTGATGAGCTGCTTGCTTCACTCTCCTGGTACTTCTGTGTCCCTGATACGTGACTGTAGTTGCCTTTCTCGGGCCTTCCTACTCTCTCGGGTGGCGGTTTGCGGCGGTTTGTTCAAAGGCCTGTGGGTTACAGCAGCACATCACACTGCCTTTCTTCTTCGATGTGCTTGTGATTCATGGGCTTTCTTTCACAGTAACAAACCATCACCTCCGATTGGTTTGCCCTCCATTCCCCTACAATTATTTCCTTTTTATGTCAGTTTGGTCGGTAAAATTTTGCTTTCCTTTCAAAACAAATTCAGATGTCAGTATGCTCAGCTGTTGAGATGGTCCTGAAACTCTTAATGCTTGCTTTCTACTTTTAAAATGATGTGTTGACCCCACTTTTTTCTTTTTATAATTTTTAATTGAATCACAGTGAGACACAGTTACAAAGTTCTTCGTGATTGGGTTTCAGTCATATAATGTTTCAAAACCCGTCCCTTCACTAGTGTACATTTCCCACTACCAATGTCCCCAGTTTCTCTCCAGCCCCTCCCCCACCTGCCTGGGTGACAGGCACTTCTCTCTCTCTTTCTCTTCCCTCTCTCCCCTCCCCCCTTTTGGGCATTATGGTTTGCAATACAGACACTAAAGGTGAAAGGTTATCTTGAATATCCCTTTACCTGCTTTCCACACTCAGTTCTTGTCCAGAGTGATCATTTTTATTGTTGTCATACTAGGCCCTTCTATATCCTAACTGCCCTTTGCTCCACACACACTTGTGGCCAGTTTCCAACCATTGACCAGTCCTCCTGGTTCCCGTTTTTCCTGACCTTGGATATTTGTCTCATACTATTTTTTATATCCCTCCCACACACTCTTTTGTTTTGTACTCAATCCCAGGTTTTAATATATATTGGGATTTACTGGATTTTTATTTTTGCCCTTTCCAAGATCCTGGAAAGAAGGGAAGGCAGCTAAGTAGAGAGAGTAAGAGGGAAATTGTCTGCCATAGAGGTAGGGGGAGGGTTGAGACAGGGTGGGGAGGGATACTGGGGGCATTGGTGGTAGAAATTGTACACTGATTGAGGGATGGGTGTTCGATCATTGTATGACTGAAACTCAAACGTGAAAGTTTCTTGGTGATTCAATTAAAAAGAAGGGAAGGCCAGAACAATTATACATGCTAAGCGGAAAAATTGGCTTTGACAGACAGTACATTTTTTAATCTCACACCTACTGAATCAGTCTCTGCCTATGTGGCCTTCTTCTCTTTCTCTTTCACCGCATTGTCTGAGTAGGACTTGAAGCTTTCGTGCCAAGTATCGTAGCACTGCTTTTGAGGAGCTTGTAGTGCCTTATTTAGGGGGAGACACAACTTAGAAGCTGAGCAGATGCACAAAGCTCTTTAGAAATCGAGTTCTGAGAGCACATCCATGCTAAGTAATCTGAAGAAGCCTGAATTTGGAGAAGGCAGGCCCCTGTGCTTTGCTGCCATAGTGATGAGGTCAGCGGAGGCCTGGGGAAGCCTTAGGCCATTGGAGAGCCCAAGGACATTGAGCTGGAAATGAGCCTGGTGCTGGGAGATAGTTTGTCTCGAACGTGGTGGGAGTGCTGCTTGCTGGAATGTAGGGAGTAACTCAAGAGGGAGAAAGCTGAGAGAACTTGGAGCTCTCGGTCTGCACGGACGGACGAGGTGGAGATGCCATTGAGAGAAAGGAGCATGTGGGTAAGGAGAAAGGGGTTTGAAAGAAGGGGGTGCTCTAAGGCAGTGGCTCTCCAGGTGGCGTGCTCGTGGGAATCACCTGAGCTGACTTAGCATGCCTGAAGCCGGGGCTCCTCCCGCAGAATATTCTGCTGTCATGTCACGGTTGTGATTTGGCCCTTACCCGTATCACTAGGAATATCAGAAGCAAGAACTGTGAAAGCCCTCTGGGCTGTTCACAGGAGTGTTTGGGGACAAGCTCCAGTGTGCTCGACCCAGAGCCACTTGGGGCCAGTGTGCAGCCCAAGCACGATGCTCGGAGCAGTCACTAAAATCAGACCACGGCGTCAGTCTTCACGGGCATTTCCTCCTGCCGCTTTAAGGAAAGGAAAGGTTTGTGTGAGAGAAAGAAGGTAGTCGGACTCAGCTGGCAGGAGGCCCTAGTTTCCACCTCAGCAGTGCTATGTACGTATTTACATGTGTGTTTCTATTCCCCCTAACATGAAAACCCCCTTCTGGAAATGCTCACCCGCTCTAATTAACCTTTCTAATGAAACTGATCTGTGTCATTTGAACTTCATACAAATTCTTGATATTAATTCAAAAAGCCATCCACAGGTGTCAGCTTTCACACTCTTTATTTTTTTTTTTTTGAGCCCCACCTGGTAGTGCTCAGGGCTGACTCCTGGCAGGGCTTATGGGACCATTTGGGGTCCCATGAATCAAACCCAGGCCAGCTGCATGCAAGGCAAGGTAAACACCCTACCTGCTATACTATCACTCCGGCCCCTTGCATCTTACCATTTAACATGGCAGCTGTCTGCAAGTGGCTTTGCCCTAGAACCCTGGCATGCTTGTGTCTGTCATTTGCTTTCCTGCCTGAGTAGGTGTATTCATCGGCATACCTTGTGCTTATTGCTAAGTCCATGTTGTCAGAGGCTGCTTTGGGAACACAAACAGACTGTGGCCAGCTGCCTCCAGTTTGGTCCTACGTGGCTACAGAAATCGGCCGAACTCTCAGCGCTTCACAGTCCACAGTTAGCATTGCCCGAGGCTCTGAGTATCACTCCAGTGTCTTGCAGGCAGCCCTGAGACGTTCTCAGTTATATTTATGCTGTGCAGGAAAATATAGCCAAGGTTTGATTCTGGTTGGTGGCTCTAATACCAGATCACCTTGCTCACGAACTGGTGAGTTTCCTCAAAGCCAACAAGTCACACCTGTGTCCTGTGCGCGGGTGCTGCAGGCTTAGGTGGAGAAAAGCAGGGCTAGAATTGGAACCCACAGCCCAGGATGGCAGGAGAGGATGTGGGGGCTCCACCCGATCGCCTCTGGGTTCACCAAGAGGGTATCTACCGAGACGAATACCAGCGCACTTGGGTGGCCGTCGTGGAAGAGGTAACTCTGTGTTCTGCTTATTTATCAATTCTGCTTTCAAACAACTTTCTGTCCAGTCTTAGTGTTCTGAAGTCTGGTTTCATTTTTGATGATCTCTTTTTATTAGGAGACGGATGCCCTAAGGGCACGAGTCCAGCAAGTTCAGGTGCCCTTAGGTGACGCAGCTAGGCCAAGTCACCTCCTCACTTCCCAGCTACCTCTCATGTGGCAACTCTACCCCCACGAGCGCTACATGGATAACAACTCTCGCTTGTGGCAGATCCAGCATCACTTAATGGTACACATGTTGTTTGACCCTTTGCCTTTTCTTGAGTTGCCCGTAGCAGAGTACTCTCTAAACTTTTCTTCTCCTGGCAGGTCAGGGGCGTACAGGAGCTGTTGCTTAAGCTTTTGCCTGATGATTAACCTGGTATGTGTTTCTGTTTCTCCTTTCCACCGCACCCCCATTCTTTTCCACTGGATTCTGCTGTGGTGAGTTTCATGATCTGTTTTCTTTTCCAGGGGCTGGGATTCTCAGAAGATATGCTCCTCTGTTCTGTTCAGTATATGGCAAATACTTCGTCCACCACTGCAGTTCACCCACCCGTGGGCCTTTGGGAGGGAGTAGGTTGAAAAACTGTGCAAGGACACAGAAGTTTAGGAAGGGTCATGAAGAATACCACCAGTGGAACTGCAGAGAGAGGGTCACACAGGTAGAAAGTGAGTCACAGAAGCACTTAGGCAGGAGCCCTAACTTGAAATTGACTCCTTCGGAGATTGCCATAGAATCTTTAATGGACATCATCAGCTGGAACTGGGGTCTGATGAAGCGCATAGAAGTCAGCACCTGCTACAGAATCGTTGCCCCATCACCAAGGACCTGGTACTGATTTCGAGAGAAGAGAGCAGCTCCTAGCAGCATCAACATCTGTGTGTCGCTTATTTGCCCTGCCACAATTCACCTGCCTTTCCTTCTCCCATCCTGTAAATATCCCGAGTTTTTGCTCCGGTGTTTCCCATCCCAGTACTGACCCAACTTGGACATAAGGAGAACTTAGGGAGCTCTGCAACAAAAAGAAGTGATTGAATTAACATTAGCTGCAAAGGCCCCTGGGCCTTTTTCCTTTCTGAAATCGCATCTTCAAAGTATTAGAAGTTGCTGATCAAAATCATGGGCACTTAAATTCATTTTCTGATTATAGTTACTTTAAAGAAGTTGGTTTCTGTAAGGGTTCCAAAAACCATTTTTGCTGCTTAACCAGACTTTTCTCAGGAAGTGTTACTATTGCCGATTTCTAGAAAAGCATTTCCTACCTGATAGTTTCCTGAGTTAACACAGTCATAACAGTATATGTATATATTAAAAGCAAGCCTTGACTTAAAAGCTCTTGGGAATAGTAACTACCATGTATTGCGTCCTGAGTGCTTTGCAGGCACTAGTTCTATGTACTTTCTCATGTTTTCCCTATTTTATCCCTCCATCAAGGCATTCAGGTAGGTGTGACCCCCTTTTACACGGAACTAATAAGGAAAAAGGCACAATCCATCAAATCATTGACCGGGGGGTTTTGTGAATGCAAAGCCAGGATGTAGGCAGGCACCTCGGACTATTGCTTTGCTTCTCTCACCCAGGGCTGCTGAAACCTTTTCCTTCTGAGTTCCTCTTTTTACTGGAGAAATGCAATACAGGCCAGCACTGCCAGAAACACATCAAATTCTTGCCACGGTTGATTTTGAGAAATTTGGGGGGTTGCTGCACATTCAGAAACCTCTTATTGTTCCCAAATTTTCATGACCCCCACCCTGACATTCAATTATGTGACCCCAATATTTGGTCATGACCAACAGCTTAGGAATCAAAACGCTGTTGGGGACCTCAATGACATCCAGATGAGCGGAGTGAATTCACCTATTTTCCTAAGTGAATTAAATGGTTCTGAGAAAGAAGTGGTTGGCCCTATGAATGGAAAGGAGTCGTTTGTAATGTATGTGTTTGCCAGCCAGTGTAGGACATACTGGTAGACTCAGGAAAGTCTCAAGGGCTCAAAATCGAGAAGGACTTTGAAGTCTTCATAGATAAAGGCCAGTAAAAATCCTTTCTCTTATTTTAGTTTTCTGGATATGCCGCAGAAGGATCCGTGCCAGAAGCAAGCCTGTGAAATACAGAAATGTTTACAAGGTAGTACGTTAAAAGCTTTTATTTTTTACTTTTTCTGTGGACTAACTGCAAGAGACATATCATTCTTTCTCAAAAAACTATGTTAACTCAGAATGTAATGCTTTGTGATTAATATTTTTCTCACTATCATCAAAGACAGTGAAAAAAAGTGATCTAAACTTAGGGTTTGAAATCCTTGTTGTTCATGAGAATCAACCAGAAAGCTTTTAAATAATGTAAAAACAAATTTACAGAAGTCAAGCAAGGGTCGGAGACATGGTACAGTGGGAAGGGCTCTCTTACCTTGCAGAAAATGAACCCAGGTTCAATCCCTGACATCCCATATGGATCTCTGAGTACCATCAGGAGTAATTTCTGAGTGCAGAGCCAGGAGTAACCTCTGAACATTGCCTGGTGTGGCCCCAAAACCAATAGATAAAGAAGTCAAGCTTTAAAAAAATGCCAAGGTAGGAAAATCCACTCATAGTTGTTAACACAGTATATCAAAGGGAAAAAGCACTGAAGCTGGGACAATTATTAAATCAGACTTTCTAGCATGGAGTATGTGCAGGAATCTCTAAAAAGCTAACCAGGTGGTTTTAATATGCAATGAGCATGGAAAATTACTGAGGAGAACAAAGTCTTTTTAGTTTGTGTTCGGTTTGGTTTCGGTATTTTTGGTTCGGGGGTCACATCCATTGGTGCTCAGGGTTTACTCCTGGCTATGTGTTGAGGAATCACTTTTGACATGACTCTGGGGACCTTCTTGTGCTGCTGGGTGTGCTGTGTGCAAGGTAAGCACCCTCCCTGCTGTACCAGCTCCTATTTTTTAGTATTTATGTTTACATTTATGGTTTTGATGTCCAAAGTTACTGCACCTTCACTACCACTAAAGTGCCCAAGACCCTATATCGATGTCCTTATCTCACTGCTAGTGAACTTCTTCCTTTCTCCCCTACCCCCTTAACTTCCTCCCCTCATTGCATCTAGTTTTATGAAGCAATGCCAAGGGTTGATTATCATTTGAACTGTCTATTCCTTTCTTTCATTTCTCTATACCATTGGATGAGTGAGATCATCTGGTATTTGTTCTTATTTCACCAAATACCCTCGAGTCCAGTCAAAGTCAAAACAAACTTCCCAATATTTCATCTTTTCTTAGAGCTGATTAGTAGGCCATTGTGTATGTGTATTACAGCTTTTGATTTCCTGAATAAGATGCTATTTAAGAGAATAAAACTGAGGGGTGAATGGGTGGGAAGCCCCCCACAGTATGAGAGGGGATCCTAAGCAGGACTCCCAACACAACCTCTTTATCTACTCATCTATCCTTGAACATTTGGGTGTTCCAACTTCTGGCCCTTGTCCTTTGCTCTGCAATGAACTTAAGCAGCCAAATATATTTTTGAATAAATATTTCTGGGAATAAATTCCCAAGCAGTAGAATTGTTGGGTCATGTAGAAGCTCTTTTTATAGAAGTGTCTATACTGTTTTTCCATAAATGAGGAACCAGATCGCATTTCCACCAATAGTCCAGCAGTGAACTAGGGTTTTGTTTTTTTTTTTACCACGTACCCATTTCCAATACTGTTTGTTTGATCTTTTTGATATATGCAGTTTTCATTGGTATGAGATGACATCACATTGTGCTCTGACTTGCATTTCCCTGATGATAAGTGATGAGGGACATGTTTACATATACCTCCCGGCTGTCTATATGTTCTTTTCAGAGAAGTGTCTTTTTGTTCCCTTTCCCCATTTTCAATGGGGATGTTTTGTTATTGTGAGCTTTTGAGTGCTTTATATAGCCCCTAATCTGATGTATGATGTGCAACTATTTTCTCCCATTCAGTAAAGTGTCTTTTAAAATTGTTTTAAATAATGTAGGAGCATTGCCATTTATTCAGCCATTGATTAAGCTGACTGAATCGGGCATGAACTCCACAAGTAGAGTGTTCTTTTACCTTAGGTTTCTTTTGCCATGCAAAGCGTTTAGTTTGAACTTGTGTCATTTGCTTATTCCTGCTCTTGTTCTTTGCTAATGGAATCGTATCATTGACGATGCCCCAAGGTCCGTAGCCAAGAATTTTGCATGTGTTTTCCTCAATGTATCTTATGGACTCTGATCTAACTTTGAGGTTGTTAGTGGACTTTGAACTCACGTTTGTGGATGGCATGATATAGGAAGCCATTTCCTTTTCTGCATGTGGTTATCCACATTTTCCAGCACCATTTATTGAAAAGGCTTTCCTGCTCGACTCCATGCATCCAGCTCCTTTGTCATAAATTAACTCTGGAGGTTCATCTCTGGGACCTCAGTTCTAATCTTTTGCTCAGTCTATCCTTATTCCAGTACCAGACACTTTTGATCATTACAGCGTTATAGTCTAATTTGCAGTGAGGAAATGTGATACCTTTCACCTTCTTTTTTTCTTAGAATGGCTTTGACTGTTCAAGGAGTTTTATGATTCCATACAAATATATTAGTATTCTAAGTCCTTGAGGAATGCCATCAGAATTTTTATGAGGATTATGTTGAATCTGTATAATAGTTTGGATAAGGACAGTCATTTGGACAATGTTAATTTCTCCAATTCATGAACATGGGCTATTTTTTCACTTTCTGGAATTCTCTTCTATTTCTTTGAATAGTGATTTATAGGTCTTTCAGTATTGATTTATATCTCTTGATGCATGGGGCTGGAGCGATAGCACAGCGGGTAGGGCGTTTGCCTTGCACGCAGCCAACATGGCCGACCCGAGTTCGATTCCTCCGCCCCTCTCGGAGAGCCTGGCAAGCTACCGAGAGTATTTGATATGCCAGACACAGTAACATCTTTCATGAAATTAATTAAAGTCCTGTCAGAGAAATCAAAATTAGGGTCTTGGAGCAATAGCACAAGAGATTGCCTGTGGCTGCTGTCCTACCTGGGACCCTGCACCAATTTTGGTCCCCTGAGCAATGCCAGAGGACACTAGAGTGCAGAGCCAGAAATAGCCCCTGAGCACTGCACGGTGTGGCTCCCCAAAAGAAAAAAAAAGAATAAAACTAGTCTCACAGTCTTTTTGTTGCTTTTTCCAACACTTGCCATGCCTGAGTTCCTGGGGAGCAGGTTCTAGCAGCTGAGGCTGCTCTGGGGAAACGGACTGGCACCTAAGCCTCAGTAAATGACCTTTCTCTTTGGCTTCCACTGTTTTCCTGATCTTTTTCCTTCAGAGGCTCTTTGCTTTCTTATTTTCAGCAGTGCCAACAGTGTGCTGGATAACATGGTAGGCTATTCCCTTTCTGCCATGGGAACTTGTGTGGGGCACACTGCCCATTCCATGCATGTCTTCAGCATTGCCTCTCTTACAGATGTGCATATATGCGGCCCAGAGAACAACTCCCCGTTCCCTGAAAGGTCCAGAGAACATGGAGCAGTGCCTCTCCTCTGGGTTGGTCATTTGGGCAGTTTACCAGAAGGGTGGCAGTTCCTGCCAAAAGGATGATTATCTCACTTTTTTAAAGCTACTAGGTTAGATTAGGATGGAAAAATACAGTTCTGTGGTTGGAATTCAGACTGAGAATGTCAGCAAGTAATTCTAAAAGCAAAAAAGGAATTTCCTTTCTCTTTTATTATATTGTTGGGCCCACCAGCAGTACTTAGGGGCAGCTCCCAGCCCATTTTCTGGGTTTGAGCCCAGTGGTGCTTGGGAAGCCACTGGGTCCCTGGGATCATTTCTGCGCCTCCTGCCTGCACAGCATGTGGCCTTTTATGCCATCTCCCTGGTCCTGCAGAAGTGAATTGCCTCTAAAGCATAGTTGCTATGATCTGTCCATT